TAAATAGCCAATGGGTGAAACCCAGGGAAGTAAAGGCGGTCAATGTGATGCTGACCACATCACCCACCAAGCACCGATTAGTCTAAAAAATAGTAAATATGTCTAGCCCTTTATGCCCAATATGCCTAAAGGCGTGGGAAAGGGTCCTTTACTTGACTAAGTGCAGATGGGCGTAGGTCAGATGGTCAGTAGAGGAGAAGATGTGTGTAAGTCAGATGGTCAGTAGAGGAGAAGATGGGCGTAGGTCAGATGGTCACTAGAGGAGAAAATGTGTGTTGGTCAGATGGTCAGTAGAGGAGAAGATGGGCGTAGGTCAGATGGTCAGTAGAGAGAAGATGTGTGTAGGTCAGATGGTCACTAGAGGAGAAGATGTGTGTAGGTCAGATGGTCAGTAGAGGAGAAGATGGGCGTAGGTCAGATGGTCAGTAGAGAGAAGATGTGTGTAGGTCAGATGGTCAGTAGAGGAGAAGATGTGTGTAGGTCAGATGGTCAGTAGAGGAGAAGATGGGCGTAGGTCAGATGGTCAGTAGAGAGAAGATGTGTGTAGGTCAGATGGTCACTAGAGGAGAAGATGTGTGTAGGTCAGATGGTCAGTAGAGGAGAAGATGGGTGTAGGTCAGATGGTCAGTAGAGGAGAAGATGTGTGTAGGTCAGATGGTCAGTAGAGGAGAAGATGGGCGTAGGTCACATTGTCAGTAGAGGAGAAGATGTGTGTAGGTCAGATGGTAAGTAGAGGAGAAGATGTGTGTAGGTCAGATGGTCAGTAGAGAGAAGATGTGTGTAGGTCAGATGGTAAGTAGATGAGAAGATGTGTGTAGGTCAGATGGTAATTAGAGGAGAAGATGTGTGTAGGTCAGATGGTCAGTAGAGGAGAAGATGTGTGTAATGTGTGTGTGTATTTCACACAGTCACTATGTTTCTTGACATTTACAGAACTGCTGTCTGGGGTTTCATCGTCTCTCAATCGTCGATGACATCAGGGGCATGCAACCTCTTCGCCTCTACACCCATCCCTACATTTGGCTGATCTACAACGGAGAAATTTATAACCATAAAAGGGTGAGATACTACATCATTTATTGTCTAACTCACAAGATGCATAGGTAATAACTTGTGTGGCATTTTATTGCTTGCAGTTTTCCCCCCTTTAGATTCATTCAATCAATCATTCATTCATTCAATAATTCATTCTTTCATTCATTTATTTACCTCTTGTGCCATTATGTGCGACCTACGGCTCGCTGTCTGTTTCTCTATTCTATTCTATCATGTGCAATCACTTTGATATCATGGATGAAAAACAGTCTGTTATCTTTGGCCTCTGTCATCAATGTTCTCCTTGCTGTTCCTCTTGGACCTCCTCGTTTCCTTTTTTAGTGCCTGTTTGGTGATTCTTTGTTCGTCTTTTCTCATTTAACTTTCATTGCCAATCTTTAGTGTGTGTTCTCTAGCTTTCACCGACATGTGTTCAAACTGAAATGAGCGTAGTTATTCTATTATACTACAGACTGGTGATATGCAGTTTAACACGAGTTAATTTATAAGCAGTTTATATGTATAGTCTTTACATCTGCATTGATTTAACATAAGCCTCCTGCAGTCTTAGGTTGTCATGGGATTTTAATATCTTTTGACTTTAACTCATTGCTGATTTGTATGATCAAGTGTATTTATCTGAAGTTTAAACTCAGGGCAATGCAATAATTACACACACAGTTAAAAATTAAATATTTTTTTTCCAAACCAGTTACATAGAGTAATGGACCCTTTTCCACACCATTAGGTGTATTGGGCATGTGTGATGTAATAATTTTACAGATCTATCGGCATTCATTGGATGATGTGGTCAACATCAAACTGGCCACCTTTACTTCCCATCATTTTTACCTGGTACTTATTATATGCCTTGACCTGGAGGCCAGGGAATTTTGGAGCAAAAACCTAAGAACCTAAAGTAAATGTGGAGAGAGATCGAAGGGGCTGGACTGGATTTGCTCCATGATATCATGTGACAGCACAGGACACAGGGGAATGGAAGACTGGGCTGTCATCTTTATTTGAGATATAATGACACAAGAAAACAATGAATTAATATTTATATGATCTCATTTCTGCCCAGCGCTGACTCATTTATTTATTCATAATGCAGTTTTTCATCCCATTTGTTGTTGTTGCAAGTCCTTAGAGAATATGCAGATAACTTTTTTATACTACAAAATATCTAGAATACCATTGGCGTAAAAAGTGCACTTTGCTTTTAACTGAGATTGTATAACTGAGACTGTATAACTAAGACTGTATAACTGAGATTGTATAACTAAGACTGTATAACTGAGATTGTATAACTGAGACTGTATAACTGAGACTGTATAACTAAGACTGTATAACTGAGATTGTATAACTGAGACTGTATAACTGAGACTGTATAACTAAGACTGTATAACTGAGATTGTATAACTGAGATTGTATAACTGAGACTGTATAACTGAGACTGTATAACTGAGACTGTATAACTGAGATTGTATAACTGAGACTGTATAACTGAGACTGTATAACTGAGACTGTATAACTGAGACTGTATAACTAAGACTGTATAACTGAGATTGTATAACTGAGATTGTATAACTGAGACTGTATAACTGAGACTGTATAACTGAGACTGTATAACTGAGATTGTATAACTGAGACTGTATAACTGAGACTGTATAACTGAGATTGTATAACTGAGACTGTATAACTGAGACTGTATAACTGAGACTATAGCTGAGACTGTATAACTGAGACTGTATAACTGAGACTATAGCTGAGACTGTATAACTGAGACTGTATAACTGAGATTGTATAACTGAGACTATAGCTGAGACTGTATAACTGAGATTGTATAACTGAGACTGTATAACTGAGACTGTATAACTGAGACTGTATAACTGAGATTGTATAACTGAGACTATAGCTGAGACTGTATAACTGAGACTGTATAACTGAGACTGTATAACTGAGACTATAGCTGAGACTGTATAACTGAGACTGTATAACTGAGATTGTATAACTGAGACTATAGCTGAGACTGTATAACTGAGACTGTATAACTGACACTGCATTACTGAGACTGTATAACTAAGATTGTATAACTGAGACTATAGCTGAGACTGTATAACTGAGACTGTATAACTGAGATTGTATAACTGAGACTGTATAACTGAGACTGTATAACTGAGACTGTATAACTGAGACTGTATAGCTGAGACTGTTTAACTGAGACTGTATAACTGAGACTGTATAACTGAGATTGTATAACTGAGACTGTATAACTGAGACTGTATAACTGAGACTGTATAACTGAGACTGTATAACTGAGACTGTATAACTGAGATTGTATAACTGAGACTGTATAACTGAGACTGTATAACTGAGACTGTATAACTGAGACTGTATAACTGAGATTGTATAGCTGAGACTGTATAACTGAGATTGTATAACTGAGACTGTATAACTGAGACTGTATAACTGAGACTGTATAATTGAGACTGTATAACTGAGACTGTATAACTGAGACTGTATAACTGAGATTGTATAACTGAGACTATAGCTGAGACTGTATAACTGAGATTGTATAACTGAGACTGTATAACTGAGACTGTATAACTGAGACTGTATAACTGAGACTGTATAACTGAGACTGTATAACTGAGATTGTATAACTGAGACTATATAACTGAGACTGTATAACTGAGACTGTATAACTGAGATTGTATAACTGAGACTATAGCTGAGACTGTATAACTGAGATTGTATAACTGAGACTGTATAACTGAGACTGTATAACTGAGACTGTATAACTGAGACTGTATAACTGAGACTGTATAACTGAGACTGTATAACTGAGACTGTATAACTGAGACTGTATAACTGAGATTGTATAACTGAGACTATAGCTGAGACTGTATAACTGAGATTGTATAACTGAGACTGTATAACTGAGACTGTGTAACTGAGACTGTATAACTGAGATTGTATAACTGAGACTATAGCTGAGACTGTATAACTGAGACTGTATAACTGAGACTGCATTACTGAGACTGTATAACTGAGACTATAGCTGAGACTGTATAACTGAGACTGTATAACTGAGACTGCATTACTGAGACTGTATAACTGACACTGCATTACTGAGACTGCATTACTGAGACTGTATAACTGACACTGCATTACTGAGACTGTATAACTGACACTGCATTACTGAGACTGTATAACTAAGATTGTATAACTGAGACTATATAACTGAGACTGTATAACTGAGACTGTATAACTGAGACTGTATAACTGAGACTGTATAACTGAGACTATTACTGAGACTGTATAACTGAGATTGTATAACTGAGACTGTATAACTGAGACTGTATAACTGAGACTGTATAACTGAGACTGTATAACTGAGACTGTATAACTGAGACTATTACTGAGACTGTATAACTGAGACACATATAACTAACTGAGATTGTATAACTGAGACTATATAACTGAGACTGTATAACTGAGACTATATAACTGAGACTGTATAACTGAGACACATATAACTAACTGAGATTGTATAACTGAGACTATATAACTGAGACTGTATAACTGAGACTGTATAACTGAGACTATATAACTGAGACTATATAACTGAGACACATATAACTAACTGAGATTGTATAACTGAGACTGTATAACTGAGACTATATAACTGAGACTGTATAACTGAGACACATATAACTAACTGAGATTGTATAACTGAGACTATATAACTGAGACTATATAACTGAGACTGTATAACTGAGACTATATAACTGAAACTGTATAACTGAGACTATATAACTGAGACTATATAACTGAGACTGTATAACTGAGACACATATAACTAACTGAGACACATATAACTAACTGAGACTATTACTGAGACTGTATAACTGAGACACATATAACTAACTGAGACTGTATATGTTCCTTCTGGGAAATAGCTGGACAAGGAGTTTAACCTGGCCACCAGCACTGAACTGGACGGAGAGCCCATCATTCACTTGTACCAAACGCTTGGAGCTGAAGCGATGGCCAAACAGCTGGACGGTGTCTTTGCCTTTTGTATCCTCGATGTGGTCAACCGGAAAGTCATCTTGGGCAGGGACACTTATGGCGTGCGTCCACTCTTCAGGTTTCAGACAGACGAAGGATTTCTAGGAGTTTGTTCAGAGGCCAAAGGTGAGGAAACACACACTCACATGAGCGTGCATGCACACACATACATACATATGCTCAGATCTCATGACACTATAAGGTGTACAACGGTAGAACAAAAGAAAACATTTCATGCAAGCAGCAAAATGACAGTTGACATGTCAACTTCCATTTATGTATTTAAAAAAAAAAGATTCTGCGCATTTGTGTGAGAAAACTGAATGCTTAATTTATATAATTGTAACTATTTTTTTTCAGCGGAAATACGTCTTCCCTTCACCGGCTGTAAGTTTTAACGAAAAGTCAGTGTTATTCATCAACTTCAACACTTTGGTATTTTTCCATATATTGAGTCTCACGAGCATGCATAGAATTCTGCGCCGGGATTGTGAACTGTCCCCTCTACTAGACCCAGCTTACAGTTAGTGCCATACAAGGTTCTGGAAAGAACAGTTGAATGCCGACTGGTCTCTAGTAGTATGAGAATAGAATGATGTACGTTGCACATGAGAAGGGGAATGGAGTTTTTTATTTTTACTGTTTTAAACTGTCAGCGTTATGGGACCGATATCACCGGTGCTAGCTATGACTATTTCACGTCTATGATGATGATGACAGCAAATAATGATGCAGGTGGTGGTTGTGATGATGATAAAAGTGGCGATGGTGATAATAATGAAAGCGATGACCATAATGATGTTGCTGAGATGTTGATAAATATCTTCAGTGTTTGCAAGTCTTGCAGGTCAGTGAGAAACTATTGCAGTCCTGTGTTAGCAGTAACTATTGTTTGCTGTGTTTGCTCTAACTATTGTTTGCTGTGTTTGCAGTAACTATTGTTTGCTGTGTTTGCAATAACTATTGTTTGCTGTGTTTGCTCTAACTATTGTTTGCTGTGTTTGCTCTAACTATTGTTTGCTGTGTTTGCAGTAACTATTGTTTGCTGTGTTTGCTCTAACTATTGTTTGCTGTGTTTGCAGTAACTATTGTTTGTCTATCACAGGACACAAAATAAAGTAACATTGCAGCCTACCAGGCATGTTGTAAGAGGCCACTAAGGGTAGGGTTTGGTTTGGGGTTGGCTACCTCAACCCGTAAAAAAACCAACCAGCCATGAGAAAGTCAGAAAAAGAAACAAGGAAAACACAGCCAACCTAGATGAGAGGGGAATCTCTTGAGCTAGAGAGTGAAGCTACCTAGATGAAGAGGACATGAGAGGAACTCCATGCATTAGTAAAGGATGGAATAACTTGGCTGAGTTTGTTGGGAGCCTATGCTCCACTGGGGGATCGATAGCAAAGAAGAAAACTGTATCTGCGACAGAAAATTTTAATTGTTTCCTCTATGTCTATTGCAGGTCTTTTCGGCTTGTCACACAGTCTATCAGATGAGGATGTTCACATCGATGCATTCCCGCCTGGACATATCGAAATCTATGACCTGGACAAAGATGGTCGCGCTTTTCTCAAAGAGAGGACGTGTTTCAACTCTCCAGGCCAGTTCCCGCTTTACAAGACCAAGATTTCTTCTTTTTGTAAGTTCCACTGTGTACCCAGTCGAAATGTTTGAAGGCCCACATGCAAGGTTAACAGCTTCATTAAATGAATGTCAGTTTGTGCATTAGAGCGCTGCAGTGGTTATTTGAATACCATATGCTTGAAGGTTGAGTGACATGATCACTGATGTTTGCTTCCGGTTGAGTACACAACAAAGGAGGAGCAGCAGCAAAATAACAAGAAGAACAAGAGGAACAAGAAATAAAGAGCATTGTATAAAACAAAGACTGAATTTTCTGTTCCCATTCTTTTACTGCGGCAGCTACGTTCATTGAACCAACTGCCATGCCATCAGAGAATCGGAAATTGTTTACATAAGTTTAAGAAAATGGTAGCAATGCTGTCATCTTGCTCCCTGCTGCTCACTCTACAGTATATATACACATACACGTCTGCTTGTCGGCATACACATAACCACCCATACACAAACGTGCGCGCGCGCAGGCATGCATGCACACTCACACACTCATAGATTCACACACACACATATACATATATATATATATACATTTCATATAATTTTACAGCAAATACATTGTCCTATTGTGCTCTTATGTGTTACATAGGGCTCGCAATCTGTTCATTCATTCCATTTAGTTCAGTATCATGGATGGATTTCAGCACCTTTGGCCTGTCCCATCAGTGTTCATCTTAGGTTTTCTTTTAGGCGTCCTTGCCTCTTTAATCCCTTTACTTCCAATTTTAATGCCTGTTTGGTATTTCATTCATTTTGAATATATGTATTTATGTTTAATGACTTTCTGTTTGCTTCTCCCCGGGAAATTCCCAACATATTGCCATTTTTGTTTGCTTATAAATGTTGACACTAGCGGTTCTCCTATTTCTTTTGCCTTTAAAATAAAATGTCTCCTTTCGAATGTTTCATCAACAGCTAAAGACGTGAAGGAAAATGTGTCCAGGCTGCTGGAAGCGGCGGTAGAAAAGCGACTTATGGCAGATGTTCGCATCGGCTGTCTGCTGTCAGGTACGTTGTTGTGGTATTGTAGCTTTTCACAGAACTGGCAAGGGGTTCTTTATGAAGCTGTGCCATTTTTCCTGTGAGGGTTACAGGGCCCTGTTTGAAGGGAAGAGGGGAGAAAAGATAAACCCACTGTCCTCTTAACAATGATATGCCTAAAGCCAGAATTTTTTTGAATGGAAAAAAGTACATTACTGGCTGCTACTGCAGTATTTTGAGATTTGAACAACAGATCAACATCATAGCACAGGGTAGTAACCCATAAATGCTCCGTTCTTCTTCCAACTCAAGTCTGAGTCCGAAGAAGCTCAGCACAGTGCACAGGCTCTGTAGCACCGGCGAGGATCCTAAAATATTTTAGGTAGATTTTAAACTCTAAATTTTGCCAGGGCAGCATCATTAAGCTACTCTTGTAAATTTCCAACTGCCAAGTTTTTTTTTATTTGCACAACAATGCACACGGGCATCCGATTTCACTACCCAGAGACCGGGGGAATTACTGGAAGTCCAAGTCCACATGAAAAAATCCTGGTCCTTACCGTGGATTGAGCCCGGAACCTCTAGCACTTGAGGCGGACACCATTCCTCAAGACCAGGCAGCTCTTCTTCTGCTGTAGTTAAAATGACTTAACTCAGATAGACATCATTTTAAGGAGTTTAGTTAGAACAATAGACAGACATCATTTTAAGGAGTTTAGTTAGAACAATAGACAGACATAATTTTAAGGAGTTTAGTTAGAACAATAGACAGACATCATTTTAAGGAGTTTAGTTAGAACAATAGACAGACATCATTTTAAGGAGTTTAGTTAGAACAATAGACAGACATCATTTTAAGGAGTTTAGTTAGAACAATAGACAGACATCATTTTAAGGAGTTTAGTTAGAACAATAGACAGACATCATTTTAAGGAGTTTAGTTAGAACAATAGACAGACATCATTTAAAGGAGTTTAGTTAGAACAATAGACAGACATCATTTTAAGGAGTTTAGTTAGAACAATAGACAGGCATCATTTTAAGGAGTTTAGTTAGAACAATAGACAGACATCATTTTAAGATGTTTAGTTAGAACAATAGACAGACGTCATTTTAAGGAGTTTAGTTAGAACAATAGACAGGCATCATTTTAAGGAGTTTAGTTAGAACAATAGACAGACATCATTTTAAGGAGTTTAGTTAGAACAATAGACAGGCATCATTTTAAGGAGTTTACTTAGAACAATAGACAGACATCATTTTAAGGAGTTTAGTTAGAACAATAGACAGACATCATTTTAAGGAGTTTAGTTAGAACAATAGACAGACATCATTTTAAGGAGTTTACTTAGAACAATAAACAGACATCATTTTAAGGAGTTTAGTTAGAACAATAGACAGACAAATTCCAAGACACTTTTACCGACACTTTTGAGACATCAGGTAGACAGACATCTTGTAAGACAGATCTCTATGTATGGGTTCCAGTGTCCCAGTTATGTTGAGGAAACAAAAAGAATAGACTCACTTTCCAATAAGTAGCATGTAGTGAAAGCCCATTAATTAGGAGTTTGCCGAATAGGACATGATGGGCCAAAAGAAGCACATATCAAAACCTAGCTGTAAACTGGAATACATAATGCCAGCTGGCCCTTTTCAGGACAAAGGTGGATGTCAAAGATTGTCTTAATAATTTATTTCTTTACCTCTGAAACCCACCGGACAAAAGAAATAAATAATTTCCCAAAACACAAAACCACCAAGCTAAAAATTTGAAAAGAGAAATAAAGAAACTATCAGATAGATTGTGGGAACAACACTTTGTAGTAGATTAATTGAGAAACAGCACTTCCGTTGGTTTGTCCATCTCATTAGAATGCAGCAACAGGAAATAGATCACAGACAGTACATCGCAGAAGATCAGCTGCAAGAGCAACAGGACGACAACGAGAAATTGGATTGACAACATTAAAGACACTTTGTGCTTTGACAGCGAGACAGTAGTCAGTGCCAGCCAGCCTGCACCTGATCGCAAATTATTCCTCCTCATGTCACTTGACTGTACAAGTAGTTAATAATGATGATAACATTTTAAAACGTTTACAGAGATAGATACAGGTGTGGATAATCTGAGGTAGAGATGGTATACACTGCTTGAGAGCAGAAATGTAGCCGGACCTAACATGAATTTGTTCGGAGTGTGCGCCCGGCCCCCCAAGGGCAGGAGCGCCAGCGTAAAGAAAACATTGAGGGAAGAGTGCCTTCCCTCTAATTTACTTATTAACTCCTTGAGTACCAAGGAACACATCATACGTTCATAAGTTCCCACCTAAAAGCTCCCAAAAATGCAAGATGCGCCAATTTTATGTCTCTCTCTACTACTCTTTGGGACTAGAACTCAAAGACTTAAAGGGTGGGTAGTGGTAGGGCGCAAGGGACCTAAGCACGTTTGAGCATGCTATCATTATTATAGTAGTAATAATATTTGTTGTAATAATAAGAATAATAATTACTTTTATGTGGTGAATGGCAAAAAAACTCTTAACAATAAATTGAAATAATGTGAAATGTTTAAACGAACACTTTCTATCTATCTATCTATCTATCTATCTATCTATCTATCTATCTATCTATCTATCTGTCTGTCTGTCTGTCTGTCTGTCTGTCTGTCTGTCTGTCTGTCTGTCTGTCTGTCTGTCTTCTTGTACCCCACCAGGACATCACACAAGCGATAAACACCCGATGACACAAAGTGCCACCATGTGGATGGGGATCACCCGTGGAGAGGTCCCAGAAACCGCGTTCAACCATTAGACAATATTTATAGCCGGGCTATATTACGGTCCCTGGCAAGAGCCAGAGAAAGGCTTTAAATAACGAAAAATTGCATCTCGCAAGGAGACGTTTTGTGGCTACCTAACCCCCTAACAAGTTGTATTTGGTATGAAAAAGGGAGACATAATTGATGACTCAGCCAGCCCTAAACATAGTTGGGGGGGGGGGGGATTTTGGAGTTCCCTTCCCTTCTTTTCTGCTTTTACGGTGCTCCTGGTCGTTTTCATATTGAAAATTAAATAACAAATGAAATTTGTTGAACAAAGTTAGGTAACTCTTTAAATTTAAATAAGTATTGGAATTGTTTGAATTATCACCCTTGATGGATTTTTATTTCAATGTCTTTAAATAGGTGGCCTTGATTCGAGCCTAGTAGCTGCCCTGTTTAACAAGTTAGCAAACGAGAAAGGTATCACATACCCCTTGCAGACCTTTGCTATTGGGTTAGAAGGCAGTCCGGACCTCAAAGCAGCCAGGAAAGTAAGTTTTACCTTTAAATTATTTGATTTTGGTAAATACAACTACTGTATTTTGACGCGTTTCTTATTCTTCTTTGTTCACCAACTGTGAACTTTATTTACATTCCACAAATACTTACGTCCTTTTCAGGACGTAATTTTTCGTTATTTGAAGCCCCACTCTGGCTTTTGCCAGGGGCCGCAATATAAGCAGGCCATAAATATGGCCAATTGTCTGAACGCGGTTTCTGGGATCTCTCCATGGTGATTCTCATCCACATGGTGGCACTTTGTGTCATCGGGTGTTCGCTTGTGTGATGTCCTGGTGGGGTAGAAATTTATTCATTCATTCATTCTTTCACTGTAAACTTTAGTAAAAAGATGTCCCCATGTGAAATGCAATTTTTGGTTATTTTGAAGCTCCCACCCCGGCTTTGCCAGGGGCCACAATAGTCTAAAAGCATAACATGGTTATGTGTCCCAGGGTGATCCTCATTCAAAATGGTGGCACTCTGTGTCACCTGGTATTTATCGCTCAGCATGACGACCTGTTGGGATTGAACCTCAGTCAGTGGCTGTAAGCTCTAGCTGAAATTCCTGGCTGTTCGTCCATATGGGCCTGAGTTTTGGGTGTAAAACCAGTGTACTGTCTGTTTTTGTGAGCAGCTGGTTGTTCTTTGCCACTCAAGCATATGCTCTCCAACTTTGAAGGAAGCTCCCAATTAGTCGACTCTTATGACATCCATGTTGTGGAGGCAATGGGTATATACTTGTTTCCCCACAACAGGGTCCGGAAGCCAAATGGAGGGTATTTTAATACACTTCTGCACCCTTTCAAGTGTAAAATGGAACTATAATAAATTGTTGTTAACACAAACTTGCTGTCAAATCTGATGCTCACTGTTGCTTGGTTGGCAGCAATAGCTGTTGTTATTATGTGTCCATATAGAAGCTCTTTAATGTCATTATTCCATGTTCTCCAAGGGCAACCTCTTGCTTTAAAATTTGATCTTTTCGTGTATAGTGCCTGCATTTCTAGCTGTTCTGGCTGCATCCCTAACAGGTGACCAAACTGTTTGATCTTCTGTTTCTCTGTGCATTTGGTGGATGTTTTTGTTCCCACAGTCTTCTGTTAATATCAAATTTATGTAGATTAACCTTTGATAATGTCCAAGCCTGGCACTGGTAGCACAATGTTGGTATGAATATGCTGTTTATAATCTGTTTCTTGACACTCATACTTACGTTTGGATGTCCTAATAATACTGTCAGTTGGTACATAAGTGTGCCGGCTTGTTGACATTTTGTTTCTATTCCCCGATCTATTCTCCCATCCTCCAAGAATATACTTCCTAGATATTGAAATTCTTTAACTTGCTTTAGACAAGTACCATTTGACCCCATAAGTTGCAGACTAAAAATTCTGGCAGACTAAAAATTCTGCTGACCTGCATTATTTCAGTTTTTTAGCCGTATTTACTTCCATGTTATATCTTCCCCAGGTGGGTTCTGGGGCACCATTGTAGGGTAAACAAGAATATATTCATTGCTTCCCCAGCAAGCATGTCCTAAGAGTCGACTAACTAGGAGGCTTCTTCAAAGTCATGTGCATCTGCCTGAGGTGCAAGAAATGAACAATCTGCATGCAAATAAGTCATGTGCAAGACTCAAGTCCACAGGTGAACAAACAACCAGAACTTTCTGCTGGAGTTTACAGCCAGTAAATGCTAAAAGAGGAGCAGCTGAACGATTAGAACACTGGGCTGTCAAGAGGAAGACCTGGGTTTGAATCCTCAGTAAGGCTGGGGATTTTTTATGTCGGGGGCAATATTAAATCCTCACCTGACCAGTTGAAACGACAGGACTAGCCATGCGGCCATAAATCCTCAGGCTCAAAGACATCCGGACACCGCAAAAGTGCTGTAATAAAGCCAGTAGTTGGCAGTTTTGGAATGTGAAAAAGAAGAAAAAAGATGTTATATGGAGAAGAAAAAGAAGACTGGTAGAAAAGGTTTAAGATTTTAGTTTCTCTACACCAAATGTAGTAAAGAATAAAATAATACAATTTTTTTTTAAATACATCCCAAGACAAAAGAGGACTGCAAGAGGCAAGCAGGACACAGATTTATGTTTTTCTCTGATCTCCGCAGGTGGCTGATCACTTGGGCACAGAGCATCATGAGGTCATCATGACACCAGAGGAGGGCATTGATGCCATCGATTCTGTCATTTATCATCTAGAGAGTTATGACATCACAACGGTCAGGGCATCTGTAGGTAAGTCTGGGCAGTGTTACCCCATTTCTACTCATTTCTTCCTCATCATGCGATTAATGGTATAACACATTAAACACATAGATCAGATAATAATGAAAGACAAGTAGGGTTTGGCTGTGATAAGAGTGATGGCGGCGGCAAACTGTGAGCAGCGTCATCTGTATCTTCTACACCAGGGTCTGGTCCTTTCTGTTTGTGAATATGCGATGGTGATCCTGACTCTCAGCCATAAGCAGATGGAAAGAATATAGAATGAGCTATGCACATTATACTTGGGTGTACAAGAGATACAGCAGACAGGGCTATGCCCTACCTTCTTGATTTTTCTAACCATGGAAGACAAAATACAAATTTCCTGAGCACCTGCCCACCTCACAGTCAAGACGGACACACAACACCCATTGCCTAGTGAAATTAAGAAGATAAAAGGCAGCAGGTTAAAAAGAGGGAAATTATGGATGGATCAAGATGAGGACATTATTTTACAGGTATGTTTACTTGAGGACATTATTTTACAGGTATGTTCACTTGAGGACATTATTTTACAGGTATGTTCACTTGAGGACATTATTTTACAGGTATGTTTACTTGAGGACATTATTTTACAGGTATGTTCACTTGAGGACATAGAATCCAGCTAGGAGTGGGTGCAGGTGCTTTCAGAGTGCTGCACATCTTTTTCTGTTTGCATCCAACTAGACAGAAAATGCAGACAACAGAATCCAGCTGCTGTGGAAGCAGAAGTTGAAGCCTTGATTTTTGATAACGCTCTAGAGGGTGATGCTGTCATTTACACAGATGGGTCTGTCATCTGCCATTTTAGAAGCTTAAGAGCTTTCATGGCTAAGGCTAGAGGGAGAGTTGTGAAGGAAGATTCTGGAGCTTTTGCCGTAACTACAAGTATTCTGACAATGGAAGTCATGGCTGTGACTAAAGTAGTAACATGGCTAGAGATACAGATTTTCATTGGGGCATGCTTTCTCGGTGACTCGATGAGTATGCTCAGGAAGATGGAGAAGGGCTGGGTCCGAAGGCAGTTGTTGGTGGCTCTACAGAATTCACGGCTGACAAGGATTAGTTTCATTTTCGTGCCAGGACATGTGGAGGTACAAGGAAATGAGCAAGCTGATAGACTACTGTGAAAGCTGGACAAGCCATGGACCAGGCTGATATACTGAATAGTCTACGAGATTTCAGACGTATGCGTGAACCAGCTGAGAACTGTGAATCTGCAACCATGTTCAGACTGCAAGAACAGCAAGTTAAACCGGGTGTCGCCAAACAAGAAAACTACACAGATAGCTAAAGAAGAAAAGTAAACCAACACAGAACTGGTGTCGTCAGCTGCTCCTTTGCTGCGGGATTTGCTGAAGAGGGGATCCAAGCACTTATGGACTGAGTGATTTAACATGCAGTGAGGATAATTTATCGAACTAACTAACATATATATGTGTATTATATATATTTGTTATATATGTGTGTGTGATTATGAATTCATAATCTGTTGAAATCGCTATTAATTGCTAGCATCATAAAAACTAATGCACTGCAGTGATTGAGGCATGTTGAGAGAATATCAGATGATAGAGAGGTAAAAACTGTATAAACAAGTGAGCTGAACCGTCGTAGATCACCAGGCAGACCAAGAAGATGATGGAGAAATAATATCCAAACAGACCTACAAACACTTGGAGTCACTAACTGAAACATAAGTGAATGAGGCAAGTGTCATCTGCAGCAAAGACTCTCAAAAGTGATTATGACTGAACAAGAATATATATGTGTATGTATGTATGTGTATGAGTGTGTATGTATGTGTGTGTGAGATACAGCTAATGATCTGACTGACACTGTAATGGTAAATACCCCACTCCTTTCCATGACAAATATGTCATTATGAAAGCTATAGATAAAGGCTAATTTATAGTTTTGAGTGTCATGCAAGGAAAAGTCACCACATTAATTTTTACAAGAAAACTTTTATTGGTAGACACAAATCTAGATGAAATAGAAACATGGTGAGGTTAAGAATGTTTATGGTTTAAAGAAAAGGGTTGTCACTGTGTGATTTGGAATGTCACTAGATGAGACAGAATGTCACAACAGGAGACAGACTAATTTGCAGACAGGATCAAAGAAAGTGGTTCAATCAGTGTTAGAGTGGGGCAGACAGGATCAAAGATAATGGTACAATCAGTTTAAGATATTGCAAAGAGTAACAGTGATTGAGGTTTACATCATAAATCCAAGTTTATAAACATCACCTTGTCATAGACAGTGTGAAACAACTTGAGTGAAAGAAGAAGTATAAGGAGATTTTAAAAAAAAGGAGGAGAGTAGAAAGAGGAAGAAGAAAAAGAAGAAGATGATGATAAAGAAGAAGAAGAAGAAGATGAAGAGGAAGAAAAGAAGAAGAAGCAGAAACAACAGCAAGAGGAGGAGAAGGTGCCATGAAACGGCCACAATTTTCACAGACCTGGCTCCTCATGGCTTTGTAACTCAATTTCAAACCAACAGTGTCTCCTTAGGATACCTACAGCAGGCGCGAATCCCCCTACGATTTTCTATTTGCTGTAGGGATCCCCGCAGTAAAACCGCCTTAAACCGTTTCCGGCTAGTTACGATCATGCCAGTCAATAACCAGAATGTTTCAGAAATGAAAATAGTTGCTCTGAACTAATTTTTGAAAATAGTTGCTCTGAACTAATTTTTGAAAATAGTTGCTCTGAACTAATTTTTGAAAATAGTTGCTCTGAACTAATTTTTGAAAATAGTTGCTCTGAACTAATTTTTGAAAATAGTTGCTCTGAACTAATTTTTGAAAATAGTTGCTCTGAACTAATTTTTAATAGTTTTGAATTAATTTTTGAAAATAGTTGCTCTGAACTAATTTTTGAAAATAGTTGCTCTGAACTAATTTTTGAAAATAGTTGCTCTGAATTAATTTTTGAAAATAGTTGCTCTGAACTAATTTTTGAAAATAGTTGCTCTGAACTAATTTTTGAAAATAGTTGCTCTGAACTAATTTTTGAAAATAGTTGCTCTGAACTAATTTTTGAAAATAGTTGCTCTGAACTAATTTTTGAAAATAGTTGCTCTGAACTAATTTTTGAAAATAGTTGCTCTGAACTAATTTTTGAAAATAGTTGCTCTGAACTAATTTTTGAAAATAGTTGCTCTGAACTAATTTTTGAAAATAGTTGCTCTGAACTAATTTTGGTGTGCTGAAAACGACAGTGAGTAAAGCAAAGGTCCCTTTTCCGCGCCTTAAGGCGTATAAGACGTATAGGGCTGGCTATACCTATATAGATCAATCAGCACAAGATGGGTGATGTGGTCAGTATCACGCCGACTGCCTTTACTTCTGGGACTGCACCCGGTACCCACTCAAGGCTGGGTCGACCTGGGAGTCAAGATCATTTTGAAAAAAGTCAGGCTCTGCAAGTGAGCTGCCCCACGACTTTCTGATCCGCACGCGAGCATCTAGCCGCCACCCCACGGCGACTCCCTGGAAACAAAAGTAACATTTATAAATCTTGACTGGCTCTAGTTTTTAAGATCTTTGCTAGTAGATTATTAAACTATGGTTGATTCATTTTTATGACAGGGCTGTTGTGGGCTGCATTGTTTTTTTTCATTGTCCAATAAAAATCTAACAAGAAGTTCGTGATATTATACTACTTATGATTACATAACTATTTTAAATAAATATCTTCTCTTTGATACAGTTTTGCCATAAGTTAGTGTATTGGTCGTTGTCAAAAGTATCATAGCTAGAAATACCTATAGTATCTGTGAACAACAACAGCCAGAAAATGCTTGGGTTGGTTCTGCAACTAACTTTTGTGTGAACAGGTGATATTGTATATGTGGCATCCTGACACAGGAAGCAAAGAATTGTGACTCTGCACCCTACCAGACATGTCGTAAGAGGCGACTAAGGGTAGGCTTGGGCTTGAGGTTGGCTACCTCATCCTTTAAAAACAATAGCCACAAAAACCAACCAACCATGGATGAGTCAAAAAGAGAGGCAGGTAAAACCCAGTCAACCAAGATGAGGGGAGGCTCTTCAAGTAGAAAAAGTAGGACATGGTTGGAGAAAGCCGAAAGGAGTCCGGATCGTCGACGTACCTCCTCTCAGCTAGGAAAACCTCCAGAATTGGCACCTGGAATATTATAACTCTCTATGATATAAGGCGAAAAATGGAAATAGCAAGGGAAATGACTAGAATGTCTTTGCATTGGAACCCACAGGGGCATAGGAATAAAGGAAGGCCAAAACAAAAAGACACGGAGAAGAGAGCTGGAGAATGAAGTTAGAAAGATAGGGGAACATGGGGAGAGCTCCACGTAATGGCGAAGGATAGAACGATTTGGCGGGATAAGAGATAAGAGCTGGGTGCCACACAATAGGAGAACGAGATAAGAGCTGGGTGCCACACAATAGGAGAACGAGATAGGAGCTGGGTGCCACACAATAGGAGAACGAGATAATAGCTGGGTGCCACACAATACGAGAACGGGATAAGAGCTGGGTGCCACACAATAGGAGAACAAGATAAGAGCTGGGCGCCACACAATAGGAGAACGAGATAAGAGCTGGGTGCCACACAATAGGAGAACGAGATAAGAGCTGGGTGCCACACAATAGGTGAACGAGATAAGAGCTGGGTGCCACACAATAGGAGAACGAGATAAGAGCTGGGTGCCACACATATACCGCAACATTTGTGTAGCACATCCTAAGCTGTAAGTAAAGATCCCTTTCCAGCCTTTAGGCGCAGCGGGCATTTGCGAAGGGCACCCATTTTTATTTTACAGACCATTCGGCACTAGTTGGGTAATGTGGCCGTCTTCACTTCTCCATGACGTACATCCTGGTACCCATTTTAGGCTGGGTCGAACTGCGACGCCTCCTACCACGATAAAAATCCTAGCAGCTAGCAGTGGGTTTCGATCGCGGTACGTTGGAATTACCAGTAGGACTCGCAACGCCTAAG